TGGGAGGAGGCGGAGGGTGAGGAAGGAGCCCTGGGGTTTGGGACGGAGCAGAAGTGAAGCCCATCAAGGCATCAGCAGGGAATGGTTGGGGGAACTTAAGGGTAGAAATGGAGACCAAGGAAGCGGGGAGTTTCAAGAAGACAAGGAGTGGCCAACATTGTTAGATACAGTAATAGGGCCAGTTAAACAAAAAAAAAATTTTAAGACAATTATTGTTGATCTTGACAACGAGGTGACTTTTCCTAGGTGGATCAGTGAGTTTTGCCAGCACAGTTTCAGGAGTGGGGAAAGCAGCTATGTGGGTGGGGGAGGTGGAGACCAAACGGGAAATGAGCATGGGGAAGACTCAGTGTCAAAGAGCCAGCCCTCTATAGACGTTTAGTGGAATCGGAAGGAAAGATGGTTGCGGCTAGGGAGGACCTTGGAGTTTAGGAGATTTCTATTTGTTTTTTCGGTTGTTTGTTGTTTAGGTTGAGAGAAACTTGAGCATAGTAATAGCAGAGCCATTTGAAAGATAAGTTAATTGATGGGCCAGTGTTCTAAAAGTCCTAGAAGGAGAGGGGTCCAGGACTGGAAGGAGGGATTGGCCCGGAGTGTAAGGACACCTCATCCCCTGCTATAGGAAAGGAGGTGACAGGGGGTACAAGGACATTCTCAAAATGAGGTGGCTGGTGGAGCCATAATTATAGTCCTAATTTTCTCCTTGAAGTAGATGAGGTCAGCGAGCTCACCTGGGATCACAGAGGTACCGTCTGGCTTCAGAGAGCACTGTACAGGGAGCCAGCGGCTGGGTGCCTATGACCCATCCTGCCATCCTACCATCTTCACCTGTGCAGAGCCTGCTGCCATGAAGTCAGCAAGGACTAAATACCCAGGAAACCCCTAGAGAAAAAAGGATCCCAAACGAACCTTAAAGACCCAGTTGGGGTATACTGTAGGGTACACGCACTGAGCTTTCCTGATCTAGAGTGTTGCATAGAAGTGATCAGTAATACATCTGTCAGTACCCAGGAAACCCCTAGAGAAAAAAGGATCCCAAACGAACCTTAAAGACCCAGTTGGGGTATACTGTAGGGTGCACGCACTGAGCTTTCCTGATCTAGAGTGTTGCATAGAAGTGATCAGTAATACATCTGTCAGCTTCGTACTCCTGAGGCTTATAGACCTAACCGAAATGGGGACTATAAAGAGACTCAGTACTCATTTAAACAAGTATTTGGCACTCACACCAGAAGGAGCTCTTTAATGTTGTGGCTGGTCCCAGAAGATGACCTCATTCATGGCTAAAATGATCTTTTTACATATGGCATGACCAGAAGTGAAGAAACGCACAATGTCCTGTTCTCCAAGGGGAAGAAGGGTTTCTACCTCTGGGTTTAGACGTGATTTTTAACAGTATAGGGTCATTTCAAGCTAAACGAAATGTTTTTAAATCTAATGATAGGAATACTATGGACATACAGTGTGAGGTTGATGCTTTATTAGAATGTCAGTTAAGAAAAGCCATGCCCAATCCAAAGACACCCTCTAGCAAATGGCAAGTAGATACAAAGTTTGCAGATATGATCAATGTACAGGAATTCTGCAGAGCAGACGAGATTGATTAAGATAGTGTGTGTGGTATATTTGTTTCTTATATTGAAGTATATAATAATTACATATATGATCTACCAGAAGTGCCATTTGATCCCATATAGCCCAAACCTCCACAATCTAAATTGCTTCACAAAGATAAGAACTGTAATGCTTATGTTGCAGGAGGTACAGTAGTAGAAGTGAAATCTACTGAGGAGGCTTTTGAAGTTTTCTGGGGAGTCCAGAAAAAGAGACATATTGCTAACACCCATTTGAATTGAGTCCAACCGTTCCCACAGTGTATTCAATATTAAGTTATTTCAGTCTCCCTTGGATTCAGATGGAGATACTGTCTTACAGGAGAAAGAACAAATCACTGTAAGCAGGTTGTTCATGGTAGATCTTGCTGGAAGTGAAAGAACTAACTGGACCAGAGCAGAAGGGAGCAGATTACGTGAAGCTGGTAAAGCATTAATCAGTCACTAAGGACATGAAGAACATGTATGAATGTCTTGAGAGAGAACAAATTGTATGGAACTACCAAGATGGTTTCATATCAAGATTCAAAGTTAACCCATCTGTTCAAGAACTACTTTGACGGGGAAGGAAAAGTGCATATGATCGTGTGTGTGAATCCAAAGGCTGAAGATTAGGAAGAAAGCCTGCACGTCAAGAGATTTGCAGAAGTGACCCAAGAAGTTAAAGTAGCAAGACCAGTAGACAAGGCAGTGTGTGATTTAATGCCTGGGAGGCCATACAGAAACCAGGCCAGAGGAGTTCCAACAGGAGATGAACCATTTGTTACCAAAGTGGTTTTACAGAGTTTTCCACCTTTGCCATTGTGTGAACTTTTGGATATCCATGATGAGCAGACACTTCCAAGGCCAATCAAAGCCTTAGAGAAAGGACATCACCTATGCCAAATGGTTATTGATGAGTTTGACAATCTAATACCTTAAAGTTCTTTTACAAGAATTTGGCAATGCTGTTTTAAATAAAACTACATTCAAGGAAAACTAAATAAAAAGAAAAAGTGATCTCAGGATAGAAATTGGAAATAGAATGACTGGAAAAGAAAAACGAGACTTTAGGACCACAATAAAACATTGAACTTTCAGAAGTAGAGAACAGACCTATAGTTACTAGAGGTGGGAAGAGGGAGAGGAAGGGGGTTAGGGAGTAATTGGGTAAGGGACACAGAATAATTATGATTTGTAATGATGAACATGCTAATAATATCAATTTGTCCATCACATACTGTATGCAAACACTGATAGTCATACTATGTACCCCATAAATATGTATAATCAAAAATAAATAAAAATTTAAAAAAATAAAAACAAGACTTTAGAATACAGGATCGAGATAGAGAAACTACTATTTATGAAGAATGTACCCCATAAATATGTATAATCAAAAATAAATAAAAATTTTAAAAAATAAAAACAAGACTTTAGAATACAGGATCGAGATAGAGAAACTACTATTTATGAAGAAGATAAATGCAATCTGCAACAAGAACTTGAAACCCAGAATCAGAAGCTTCAGCGGTAGTTTTCTGACAAACAGAGTAGAAGCCAGGTTGCAAGGCACAGTGACAGAAACAACAGTGAAGTGGGAGAAAGAATGCGCCCGTCCCGTCGGGTGGCAGCCAAACAGCCAGAGATGCAGAATAAACTCTGCGTCAAAGATGAGAAACTGAAACAACTGAAGGCTATTGTTACTGAACCCAAAACTCAAGGGCCGGCCCAGTGGCGCACTCGGTAGAGTGCGGTGCTTGGGAGCGCAGCGGCACTCCTGCCGAGGGTTCGGATCCCATATAGAGACCGGTCTGCTCACTGGTTGAGCGCGGTGTAGGCGTGACGCCGAGGGTTGTGATCCCGTTACCGGTCACGAAAAAAGACAAAAAGTAAAAAAAAAAAAAAAAAAAAAAAGCCAGAGAGACCCCCCCGGGAGGGAGATCAAGAAAAAGTTACTCAACAATCTGTTTCTCCACCACCAGTGCCTAACACAGCACCAATTTGTCTCCAACACATACAATCACACTCTGCAGGAGACAGATGAGTAGATCATAAGCCCACCTCTAATGTGCAGACAGGAACAGTCATGCAGCCACATGTCCCTTATGCCAACACAGTATCCATTGCAAATGAGAAGGCACTAGCTAAGTGTGAGAAGTGCATGCTGACCCACCAGGATCTAGCCTCCGATGGGGAGATTGAAACTAAAGTAATTAAGGGTGGTGTTTAAAAAACAAGGTGTGGTGGACAATCTGTTCAGTTTACTGACATTGAGACTTTAAAACAAGAATCACCAACTGGTAGTTCGAAAATAATGATCTTCCACAGTAGCACTTGCCCAACCAGATGATACAAAGTCTGAATGGACTGATGTAGAAACAAGTGTGCTGTGGCAAGCAGGATCTCAGCTGGGACCTGGATATAAGCATCATGCACAACCCAAGCACAAAGAGCCATGATCTGTCAGTCCCAGTAGCAAAGGAACATTTTCATTAGTGATTTCTCCAAAGCCATGCCAGAAGCAATCTGAGTCATCTTGTAGACCTACAGCATTGTTGAACATCGCAGACCTCAGATACATCATACACTGGACTAGATCAAATCTTCCCCTATGGCTCTGAAGATGTCTAGGATTCAACAAACTTTGTATATTATATGCCTCACTGTATTTAATATTAATAACAGAGGAAGACCTCTTTTCTCTTGCTGTATGAACTTTTATAATGCTTTTTTTTGCATACTTACAAACTAATTCATGCAAGTGTTTATCTCGAATGATTAAGGAAAAATATACCTAGATCACACTTCATGTTTTATTTTGACTTTTCCAGCTCTGGTCTGAATATGTCGTGAGGTTTTATAAACAAAACAAATGCTGCTATTAATTAGTGGCAAGAATGCACTTTAGACATATTTGAGAATTCAGACTTTCAAAATAAAGATGTCAGTGACTGGCCAATAATAAAACATTTTAGGAAGTTGTTTTGAATTTTGTATGTATATATTCACTTTATGACATTTAAATATGCCAAAAGAATTAAAATAAAAAGCAATAAGAAATTTAAAAAAGAAGTAGATAAGGTCACCTGCTGAGAAGGACGGGGTGAGATATTGAGTATACAGCTTGGAGAGGAGGTGCAGGTGTGAACTGTGGCTGCTAAGGACAGGTGAAGGGATTATCAGTCCAAGGATGTTGTCAGCTCCAATAAAATTGGAAATGGTGGATTCAAAGTGGGGCCTACCTGCCAAAATAGTGTGTGATTTAGTGTTCAGCAGCCGTGGCCCCTGAGTGGAGAGGCAGGTCATGGGACTCCTCCTAGGAAGACTCTGACTTCCAGTTCAGGATGGTGTTGGACTTGGCTCAGCTCTCCTCACTAAATGTGATGTGTACTTTTTGCGTGTCAGGTGCCTCAATCGGGAACCCTGAAGCTGTCCCACCTGCAGGAAGGAACGTACACCTTCCAGCTGACCGTGACCGATACTGCCGGGCAGAGAAGCTCCGACAGCGTGTCGGTGATGGTGCTTCCCACGGCCTACCCCACGGGAGGTGAGAAGGACGTCCTTCCCCTTCGTTCACAATGGCCAGCCGAAACTGGATATTTATGGAGGGATGGTGCTGGACTGGCATTTTATAATCTGGCTACACATTCCATGGGTTCTTCCATTTCATTTTTGGTTGTTGTTGAATAAGAGAGTCTTTACTAAAAATATAATAAAAACAGGCTCCATTATATTTTGGGACAAGTTGACACTTCTGGGTTGGGGTGGAAGAAGCACCTCAGTGGATAAGAATAGACCGTGTGAGCTACTGGACCCTTTGCATGTGTCGTCTTTTCTTGACTTGCCTTCATAAAAGACAATTATCTGGCTTTTCCAGGAAAGGGTTTTCTTTAAAGATGGATGGTGTATTTGATATGTATGTTCAAAGAGTGCAGCTAAGGAGTAGAGTTAAATCAGTCAAACTTAGAGAAGTAGAGAGTAGAATGGTGGTTACTGGAGGCTGGAGGGATGGATAAGGAAACGGGAGACATTGGTCAGAGCTCAGTTAGACAGGAGGAGGAACTTTTAGCGATCTACTGCCCAGTGTGGTGACTCCAGTTAATAATATTGTATACTCAAAAGAGTAGATTTTAAATGTTCTCATCACATTATCACAAAATGATAAGTAGGTGAGGTGATGGGGGTCATTCCGCTATTATACATTTTCTACAACATCATATTGTACCCCATAAATATATACAATTACTATTTGTCAGTTAAAAATAAACTACTAAGAAAAAAATGGGAAAGGCATACCACAGGATTGAAGAAAGGCTTAGCTCTTCGGTGCCATCAACAGCTGGTATAATAAATCATTTCAAAAATTTTAAGAAGGGAAAAAAAAGTGCAGCTAAGGAATACAGTTAAATTAAAACATGCAAAGTACACGTGTTAATTTAAAAGCACCAACTAAAAATTTTATGGACACTTTACACAGATGCGTAGATACATTAATAATATAATTTTTAATATGCATGATGGTTCTCACATTCTATTGTACAATATAGAACTCATCTGTTTCATTTATCTATGTTTCTTACTTTCCCAAATATCTGCATTTCTAAGATTAGCTCATCAAGTTAAAAAAAAATACTCTTTATATGGAACTTGGCAGCACTGAAGATACTGTAGAGCAACCTCCCCTCCCTGCCCACAATTCACTTCTGGCGATGTGCTGAGATATCATACATTTGAGGATCTATTATTTGGTCAATGGATGTTTACTTAGTATCTGCAGTGTGCAGGAACCTTACAAGGCACTCAGGATGGTGAGGTGCATTCAGGAGATATGGTCCCTGTCTTCCTGTAACTTAGAGTCTCACAAAGCTTTGCAGTCACTAGCCATGGCTCTAGTAAACTTGCTGCACGTTGACATTCCTGATTACTTAGTATTTGGACATTAATTAAGCCAGCAGTTTGAAGAATAAGTATAAAATAATCATAAGATTTCTGTGGTTACTATAGTATATCTATCTTCCATCAAATCGTAAGTATGCATACTGGAAATGAATTTTCACAAGGAAATAGAGATTTTCGAATCCTAAGAACTTGGCAACCTTGGTAATTTGCATAAGCATTAAAAATCTGATTGGCTGATGACTCCCTGTCCAGCTAAGATTTAAGCTTATTGTGAGGAAGGAGGGATAACTGCACATGGACTGGCCAGACACGAAGTCCTGCTGACTCCAGCACTATGAGGCCACCAGAAATGGTGAGTACTCAGTGTCTGCCCAGCCCTGTTGACTCACTGCAGCTGCACAGGAGGGCCAGCCAGATTTTCAAAACATTGAGTGCCAGGACCTGCTGGGCATGCACCAGGTCCGCTGCATTGGCTCCAGATAGTCGTTTACTGGTGTAGGACTGCGGGCCCAGAGGGTTCCCCCCACCCCCCAACCCTGGGTAGGAGCTGAATCAAGTGCTGATTCTGGGAGGAAAGTGTTCTTGGGAAGAAGACACAGCCTATCATCCCCACAGAAATTAGAAAAGAATTGCTTTTGTAGGTGCCTGGGAGGCAGGGAGGGCCTGCGTTGACATGAGCAGAGGGCTGACACCTCACCAGCTGCTTGTTTGCCCTGGTTTATTTTGCTAGTTGTAAATGTCTGACCCTTCTTCAGGGTGATAATAAAATGTATTTGAATTGGCAGAGAGTGATGTGAATCACTTTTCATTTCTAAAAGGCCAGTTGGGTATAGGTCTTGCATATGTAACATTACATAGAAAATAAAAAATAATTGGTATAGTATTAACTACTATCTGGAATCACTTAATAGTTATATTGGAATAATATGCTATGAATGAAAGTTAATAAAACACTACAGAGAGACATTGAAAAACAGAGGTAGGGATAAAGAGGTGTTTCTGTGCCCTCTATTACATATATTGATCTTGCAATTAATGACCTAAATGTTATGGTAACCAAGGATGGCAGCTACTGGAGTAAACAGATGAGCAGGTACCCCTGCTTATATAGTAATAACTTGGTTCAATTTTGAGCATCTTTGCATGTTTGGTAAAAATAATCTATTCACGGAACATGCCAGCAAGCACTTCCAATATGATCTAGAACAGTGGTTTTCAAATAATATCCCTCCCCCAAGGATGTTCAAGACATTTTTAGGATGTGAAAGAAGAAACCAGAGCTTATATTTTTATTAATTTTTAGTCTTTTCCTTAAAATCTTCAGTATATTTTATGAGGCATACAACATGTTGTACAGTAGCATGTGCATATTATTTGTAAATAAATTAGAGATCCATGTTCAACAATATATTATTGATCAAGATGTATGGTCAAAAAAGTTTGGAGACTACTAATCCAGAAATAGATAAATTAAAAACATGAATCTACCTCCAAAACTACCGAGGACTAAGTAAAACCTTGAGATATTTGGGATTTTCATGTCACAAATTTAAGAAATGTGACAAGCAACTGTATCCTGCTTGGTATTCAGAGTTTCTTTTGCCATTTCTCCCAAGTTCTTCCTGGTGGCTGGAGATGACCCTCCTTTCTAAACCCAAGTTCTCAGTTGTAACTGTAGTCTCTTCTTCCTCGGGAGCTTCTGCCTCCATTTCTTTTCTTTACCCTCTTATTCCTCCTGGATCAAGATATCTTCAAATTGGGGCTGGCCCGTGGCTCACTTGGTAGAGTGCGGTGCTGATAACACCAAGGCCCCGGGTTAGGATCCCATATAGGGATGGCCGGTTCGCTCACTGGGTGAGCGTGGTGCTGACAACACCAAGTCAAGGGTTAAGATCCCCTTACCGGTCATCTTTAAAAAAAGATATCTTCAAATTGCCTTGCACCCAGATAGACTCCTTTTCTAACCTCTTAATTTAACTGATTTTCAATAAAATATTTATCCAAGGTTCCACTAGGTTATGTGGATTGTGCTCATCCATTCATTCGCAGTGGAATATCACATGATGTGCCACGCTCCCACGTTCCTGACAGGATTGTCTAGTCCATTCTGTCCCTGTAAAATTGTGGAACTCCTTATGACCTAATTCTAGACTTGCACCTTTAGTCTGTATTGTCTGTACCAGTCACCTGATTCTTGTGTAGCTAAGTCCAATAAAGTTGGCTTAATCAAGGGTGAGGGAACATGCTCTTTAAGAAAATATTTATAAATATGGATGAGTTTGGAGAAACGTATGTTGAGTGAAATAAGCAAAGCACTGAGGGGTAAATACCATATGTGCTCTCTCGTAAGTGGGAGCTAAGAGAGAAAGAAGGAAGGAAAAAAGACCAGAGTGGTGCATTGGACTTGCAGAGGGAGAGAGCACACCTAGGGATACAAAGTGGAGAGGGGAAAGGAGGAGGAGGAGGGAGGTTGGGGATAATTGAGGGGATAATTGGGTGGGGACACGGGGTATAATCACAATCTGTGGTAATGGACATGCTGCCAGTATGGATCTGGCCATCACATCTTGGGCACAAGTGGTGACAATTTGCTTTGTACCCTGTGAATATTCATAACCAATAAAAACAAAACAAAAAAGAAAGAAAACATTTATAGCTCCTATGAATTGCTCTGCAGGTTAAAAACTGCTAAGAGTTCCAAAGGGAAGAAATGTCATTATTTCATGAAAATAAATTCACACCAGCTGGTAGCTAAAGATTCTGGTTACTGTCTACAACATCAGAAATGCCATGGTAGTCAACAGATAGGATTCAGTAGAAGAAAGTTAATCTCAGTAAAAAATTATTACTTAGGAAACAAGAATGCAAGGCATTACATATGTAAAATGGTGTCTCTGTTGAAACATGGACAGCCAACTGCCATCCAGGGGGTGGATGGTGTTAGGTGGCCTACTGAGGAGCAATAAATGGCCAGAGGAGCAGGACCCAGTGACAGGGTGAATGAATGAATGAATGAAACCGCGGGTGGTGGAGAAGAACGCAGCTTCTGCTGCTCCCTTCCCACCTCTTGGGCAGTGTGGGCTTCGAACCTCTTGCTCAAACAGTTAGGTTTTGCTCATTATCTGCATCTCTTTACACAAATGCATTTTATCGTACACATAGTCTCTGCCGCTCCTGACCCCATGGGAGTCTTCACTTTTCCTGCACTCCTGTGATATGAGACTTGTTTACCAACAGGATGCCTGCATGTTTGCTCACGCTACCACTTCTTCTGCGACAATGGCTGCTGCATCGACATCACGCTGGCTTGCGATGGAGTGCAGCAGTGTCCTGATGGGTCTGATGAAGCTTTCTGTCAAAATTGTGAGTCAGCTGCATGGGTGGTCAGACAAGGGCCTGAAAGTGCTGTAGCAGGGATGTCTGTATTTTCAGAATAAAATGCAAGCTCAGTGTTTTTCCTCTGCCTGGTTGTAAGGATAGCTTTATGTGGTGAAGAAGATATGACTTAAATGAGAATTCACTTAGTCTTTAGTCTGAGTTGTGAATGTCAAATTTTTGGTATTATGCTTTAATTTTTTTTTCCAATTTTCCAGAGATTCTTCCCATCCTATAAAAATGCTTTATAACATGATTTTTAAAAGCTGAAGTGAATTAACATTTTGTTTTGATAATCTTTATAGAAAATGTATGACACACTAGGATGTGGCTAAGTCAGAGCTATAAACCAGTCTTATAATGTCACATACATAAAAGTGCACTGCAAGAAAGAAGAAAAGCAACAGGAAGCTTAATGAAGTACTGGTCTGAGGGAGGATGAAGAGTTTCAAAACCTTAAGTTTAAAAATCTTTGTCAATTTATTTATGTGTAACAGCTGGAAAGCTAATTATTGGAAGAAGAGAGAACAGATTACAGATTTGAAAACTAGAGAGAATAGTTTTTTTTTTTTTTCCTTTTTGTCTTTTTCCGTGTCTGGCAACGGATCGCAACCCTCAGTGTCGCCCCCGTACCGGACCGGGACCAGCAACAGGATCGCAACCCTCGGCGTTGCCCCCACGCCTCGCTCAGCCAGTGAGCGGGAACCGGTCTGTATGTGGGATCCGAACCCTCGGCGGGAGCGCCACCGCGCTTCCCAAGCGGCGCACTATAGCAGTGCGCCACCGGGCCGGCCCGAGAGAATAGTTTTTTATAGGGCTCTGACATGTCTTAGGTGGATGAGTTATTGTTCCCAAATATATATGATTTTTAATCAACTGCAAATGTGGTAGTTTTAATTAAAAGAAACCCAACAACTAATAATCACTCTTCCATGCTTCAGTGGGCCTTGACCGCAAGGTGGTGACCCACACAGTGGCTAGTCCTGCCCAGCCAAGAACCACAGGACTGAGTGAAGATGCAGGGAGAGAATCCTTGTTGGAAAAGTCCCAGAAAGCCACTACCCCAAACCAGCCACCTCCATTATCAAACACAGAAAAGAAGAATCATTCCACCTTTTGGGGACCAGAGAGTCAAATCATTCCTGTGATGCCAGGTAAGAACTGGGGGCAGGTTATCCATGAAAATCCTTGTTTTCTGTAGCTAAACTTGGCTCAAAATTAACTTTATTTTTAAGAATGTTAAGGAAGTATTTAAAAAAGAAGAGTTAAAATGAAAAATTTGGCCAAAAAAGAAAAAAAAAACCTGACATTTGCACTGAATAATTTATAGTAAGGGGCACCTATTAAATAGATTTATACATACTCCCGAGTTACCAATACATTTATTTGTAAGTAAGTTAGAGTTAGGGAGTTTTAACACTTAGCTTAAGAAAACTAATGCCCTAAGTGTTAAATTTTAGGTTATTTTGAGATGAAGCAACACAACCCTTGCATATTTATGTAAATCCTTTTCAACCTAAGCAAGCGAACGTAAAGAAAATATATGTAATCTTGAAATGGTTGCACATGCTGGTTATATCTCCAATTTAACTAAATCTATCATTTTTTATATTTTAATAAGGCTAATAAGATTTTAAAATACATTCACATTTATAAAGTATTACAGGATTCCATCATTTAAAAGTTTTTTGCACATTTATACTTGTGTGATTATGTGACATATGAGACAAAAATGATGATGATGTTCCTATATGCTTTAGTAAATGTCCTTTCAGTGCTCAAACTCTGCATACATTTTATTGAAATAATATGTCACTATTTTAATTAACTTATTATGAAAAGATATTGTTTACTGAACAAGAAAAGGTGCAAAATAATAAAGGAAAATGACTTAAAATACCACCCTTTATTGAAAATACTTCTAATATTTTGGTATATTTCCTTCCAATATTTTATTTATGTACTTTGTAGATTTTAAGTGTCTCTATACAAATATGTCCAGAAAACACTAATCTATAAGGGGCTTTCATTTTGATGGTTTGGGTTAAATACACTTAAGGTGGTTGCTTTTGGTTCATTTCTTGGTGGTACCGCCTGCCACCTACTGGGCAAATCAGTGACTACATCCAAGCCTGGGATTTGTGTTAAGTGAGTTTTCTCCACATTGAAGGTTTGTATGAAGACAGCCACTACCTAAGAAACAGAGTCAGGGGAGACCAGGTGTGTTTGGCAGGACTGCTGAAGGGCTGAAGAGTTGATGGAAAGAACCATGTTCTCAGAGGCCAGGATGGATGAATTCTTGCTACGTCACTGTGGTAAAGAGGCCCCACTTGAGCATGAGCAAATTAGCTGAAAGTAGAGGAGACCAGAGCCGATGTCTCCTTAAACTAGGTTCTGGTCTTGGCTTTGCCTTTAGAACCTTCAGAAAATTGCTTTATATCCCTAGACCTCAGTTTCCTTATCTGTTAATAGGAATTTCAACCAGATGACCTCTAAGGTCCCGTCTAGCACTGAGTCTGTTTCAGGAAGGATAAACAGCTTGACGCTCAGACTTTACTTCATCAGCCCTTACCCTTGCTAAGTATTGCTCATTGATCACAGCACTATCCCCTGGGCAGTGTGGACTCAGCCTCAGAATTCTTTTGAAAATAATGCTCCAGGCTTCCACCAGCAGTTGATGGGAGTCAATACCCAGTTTCAAGTGTATTTGCAATCTCTGTTTTTGTCCTTTTTGATAATATGTCTTTGGCTTTGGCTATGAAGATGTAAAGAATGGTGTTTCACAGGTGCAGGCAAATTAGATGTCCAGTTATTATTTATAACATATTGAGGGGTTTTTCTAATCATTAAAGCAATATAGATTTACTGTAGAAAATTTGGAAAATACATAAAAATACAAAGAAGAAAACTAAAATCTCCTAGCAAAACTTACCATTTAACGTTTTGTTGCATTTTCTTATGATTACTTCTATTTATACATATACACACACATATTTATTCAATTTTTACAAAACCCAGGATAATATTATCTTTATAAAACTTCTATTTTTCTCAGCATTTTCGTTATTAAACATTCGTCAAAAACATAATGTTTGAAGGTCTAAGGATGAAGAAAATGGGAAGAACAGAACTTCAAAAATGTTAGAAAGAACCTCACAGCATGCGGTTTCTGTTTAAACAACAGCTATCCCCACCCTTCCCCTCTGCTTTTCCTAAGACCACCAGCCTAGAGCCCCCAGCCTCCCAACTCATATGAGTTAAAGACCCAGCATAACATAAATAGTTTTAAAAGTGCATTATTGTTCATGACATGTGCCTCAGTTTTAAAAGGATCATCAGCAAGTACAATAAATAGGACAAATTAAATTATCTGCAGCCTCCTTCCCTCACAGACATGTGGTGAGAGTAAATAAGGTACAACTCTTTGAAGAAATGTTAATGAGATACAAAGATTAAAATTAATAATGTAGTATAAAAAGTAATGAGATGCAGTTTTTCATCTATCACATTGCAAAAAATTATAATAATTAATGTTTTAAGAGTAGAGAGAAACAAGTCTCTTACATTTCTGGTGGGAATAAAATTAGTGTGGTCTTCCAGGCTGCAGTTTCTGAAGCCTTAAAACTGTGTATGCCTTACCCCAATTATCCCACTCTTGCAAATTTATTCCAAGCATGTTGCTAAGGATGAGATGAAGGGTAGGCACACATACTTGGTTACACAGTGAAATCACACTCACTACACTCAGAGCCACCGCTGGGAGGAACACAGAGCTCATGTTGCCAAGCAGGTAATGGCACAATGGCTGAGTTCTTGTGGGATGTGGTTGCTAGCTGCAGGACCTGTTTTCTGTGTGGTCCAAGTCATTCATTAACAAGGCTGTCCTCTTGAATCCCACCTAGCTGGAGGAAAGAAATCTGGTTTCCAGCCCTGCAGCGTGCTGGAAAAGTTCTGCTGTGTCTGCATTCACATGGATTCTGTGTTCTGGAAACTTGAGAACTCATGTCTAGCACAGGTCAGCCAGATTCTCTAAGGACCTGAACTGCAGCATGGACTTAGGAGGGTGTGTGGTTTCTGTGTGGAGGTGTAGAGTTCTGCCTGCATTTTCTGGTTCTTCTGCTAAATATGCCACAGCCTCATTGTTTAGCTTAATATCTGGAGACAGAGTGAGCAACTTCGACCTTTCTGTTATTATAGAAGGTAGTTCATTCAGAGAGGACATCTTTCTTTTTTTTTTTTTCCTTTTTATCTTTTTTTACTGAACGGTAACGGGATCACAACCCTCAGTGTCGCGCCCGTACTGGGGACCGGCATTTTCCTTTTTATCTTTTTTACTGAACGGTAACGGGATCACAACCCTCAGTGTCGCGCCCGTACTGGGGACCGGCAACGGAATCGCAATCCTCGGTGTTGCGCCCACACCGCACTCAGCCAGTGAGCGGGAACCGGTCTCCACATGGGATCTGAACCCTCAGCGGGAGCGCTGCTGTGCTCCCAAGTGGCGCACTCTCCAGTGCGCCACCAGGCCGGCCCAGAGAGGACATCTTTCTAAAGGAATTTTTTAAAGGTTTTTTTTTTTTAGCATGCCCTAGGTTTTTCACTGGTATTTTATCTTTTCACTGTGTTGGGCTCTCTCTTTTCTTGTTGAGAGGCCATTTGGAAACTCTAAGATCACATTTCTGGGAGGGTAGTGTGAATTTGTTGAATCCTGGTAGACAGCACAAGTGTGTAGCATGTTGTGCTCCAAGTTGGTGCCAGGCTCAACTGGATTCTCAAATTGATGGAAGATCCAGTTAAAAGAAATTCACTTAAAACAAATGAGGATACTCAATGATTACTTTCATGAAATTATTCTGAGGGGAGTAGGTTCTCTTTCATTGACCTACTTACTTCTTCAGAAAATGTCATTTAATCAGCTATAATAAGCAGATGCTTTAAGCGTGCCCCATTATTCTGGGGCACTTAGAGAAATGGTGGTCTTGGAAAAGGCACCCTCTGTTTTCTACAAGGTTTAAGTGTGTATGTTTTGGGCACTGTAATGGGGGTCAAATCATTTTTATTATTTGAAATCTATAGATGGTTTATACAGTAAATTCTATTTTGTGACTTCTAACCCACTTGTGGGTTAGTACCAAGGAATCACCTGGTTTTAAACAAAATGACATGGTTCATTTTATGTAGAAATTAGTTGAGCACCCAAGCACTCTGATAGGATTAAAACATCCTACAGGAAAATACAAATATACGGGAGTACTTCAGAAAGCTCATGGAAAAAATAGAATTAAAAGGTAATACTCATCTTTCCATAAGCTTTTTGAAGATCCCTCATATTTGTTATTCTGCCTTCACCAATAGAGAAAGGATAATAGTAAAACAAATGAACTTAGAATTCTTTTTAACTAATTTAAGACAAGTTATAGAGGACTTTTCACAGCTTATTGGCACCACAATGTGAAAATGAGAAAAGAGAACGTCAATGAGGCCTTTTATGGCTGTAATGAGGCCTAAGTAACATTTCCAGTTTAAGTGGACACACAGGCCAAGGGCCACCGCCTGGCTGTGATCTCGGTCCTGTACAGTACAGGACTTCTAAAGAGAGCACCCTCTTACCTACTTTGCAGATGTACAGTGTGATCTCCCACTGCTCAGCAAGAAAGGACAATGCTGGTGTCTCTTGTTTGTTAGATTGGTGGAGCAGGTGACCACAGGAAGCTACAGAGCATTCTGGAAGACAGGCCCATACGGTAGCCACTTTCCAAGCTGTTGTTTCCCACTTTCTTGCAACTACATGTTCTATAGCAACTGAAAATGAAATTTAAACAACTTCCGTTCAGCTGCCTCTGTGAATTCCCTCTGTGATTGTATAGTTTTGCATGGTAAACACAATACAATAGGTCATTCAGAAGAGAGGAAAAATAATTTCCTTGGACATTAACTCTTCTAGAAGGATCATTACCAAAAAGGATTATTTGCAAAAGCAGGTGATGTAATTGTCTTGTTTTGTTCTGACTCATCACACTGGCTAGAGCCTATGACTGGATGCATGGAAGTGAACCATTTCTCTACAGCATTCCATATGCTGAAGTCTAGGAAAAGTGAATCAGGCAGTCTGGGAAGTTACAGTGAATTCCTTCATGGAATGTAGAAAACAAATTCACATTTCAAATACCAAGAAGGCAGTGTAAGATTTCCTGTGTAATTCTAGAGCCTGTGGCAACTGTGTCTCCTGAAGTCTCCTGTCCCTAACAGCTGATCCCTCCCTCTCCCCACATCACTGTCCTCCTCTCCCTAGGGAAGAAGGACATTTAAAAAAATACTCTTTAAATTTGATAACTGAAGATTCAGAATAAACTCGTATATTTTTAAATGAACCCACCTCCAAGGCTAGCTCCCTTTTCCAAGTACAGGTGACCACTTTCTCTAGTGTGTCTTTAATAGACCTTTGACCCAGAACTTCCTAAGGAAACATTTAAATTTGTGATTTTGCATGGATATGAGTCAATAAATGTGGTATCAACTATAAGTTCTTAGAGTCAAAAACTTGTGTTTGCTAGCTGTGACTTTAGAGCAGCATGGTTCAGTGGGAAAGTTCCTGCTTTGGATCAGTCCTGGGTTCTAATTCCAGCAGCACTAATTACTAGCTACCAGGTAATCAACCTCTCTGAACTTCATTTTCTTACCTGTGAGAGGATAATCATATCTTCTCACAGTGTGACTACAAGAACTGCATGAGATATATGTAAATATAACTTATTTCTCTCAGTAAATGTTAGCACTACATGGGTTTTGCTAGAACATTCAAATCCAGTGGTATTCACTAAGAAACCATGCTAAGATAGCTGCAAGTCTGTAAGACAGTTAATTCAAATAAAAATAGAAACGGTACCGTGGTGATCCCAATTCTGAATTCTCTTCAGAATTAAGATGCACAAGCTCTCATCTTCACTGGAAAGAGATGGGGAAAACATTTTGAATGCAGTTATGTTTTTCTGTTCGGTGAAAGACAAACTTATTAGACCTCTGAAAAAAATTGATGGTTGGCAAATTTTGGTGTTTTGCTTTTATTCCTGGCTCAGTATTTTTAAAAAGTCGGACATGAGTTCCCAACTATGTGATCTTCCCATTTCCAAATTTATTACTGGAGAGAGAGGTAAAGGAGGATGCCTAGAGGGCCCTCTGCAAGCTAACCTGGCAGTGAGGCAAGGGGAGGAAGAAAGGAATGGGGTGGAGAAAGGGATGGCTACACAGTGGTTTTTAGGTCATTTAGTAGTTTGATTTCCAGCCTGTCTCCAGGGCTGTAGTTTTGTGTGAGCTGTTGCTGAGTAGACCGGGTGTTTTGCATAACAGTGATTTTTACCTCCACAAAATGAATACTGTGTTCCTTTTGGAGATCCATGAACAGCTGGCATTTGGAAAATGAGGCGTTATTAACTTTAAAACACAGTAATATTTTCTATATCTTTACCAAGTGAAAGCTCAGCAACATTCACCAAACCTAAGTGTATAAGAAAATAACCTAAAAAAGGCTTACATTGAACCATCAAAATGTTATTGAAAATATTCAGATTTTCATTATGGATATCAACACCATGAGATTTGTATCATAAAAGCAGTGGCTAAATATGTACTAAGTACTACATCCCTGATAAAAGGTTCAACATATTTACTGGCCAACAATTGGACTCTGGTCTGTCTACTAGCAGTGAGAAGGCAATAAAATAAATTCTCTGTATTAAATAGTGCTTTCCTATGCCAGTAGTTGTTTACAATACTTGTATAGCTTCCTAGACTAGAAACATGTATAAGAAAATCTCACAGAACTACCTTGCTTGGGATCAGGCATAATATAAGAAAATCCAGATATCTGGAGAAATCCTTGGTGGCCACTGTCCTGGCTATATTCTACAAATCTGTAAGTTTGGTTGAAATATATCCTAATTAAAAATAATAATTCTCATGTATTGAGTACTTGATGAATGCCCTTCACTCTGCACTCCTTTGATCTTTACAACAACCCTATGATATGTAGAAATCATTTCCATTTTATAGATGAAGACGCTAAGGCACAGAGAGGTTAGGAATTTAGACAAGGTCACACAGCTAGTATGTGATGAGGCCAGGACTTAATTCAGCAGTCTAATACCAGCCCCAGCATTATGATGGCCATGCAGTAGTCTCATTTGGGCTCAAGGACATACTCTCTTAGCTACACAGACAGGAAGCAGCTACAGCTCCCCTAAGACCCTGCCTAACTGATACTTTCTATGAGGGCATTAGAAGCTCAGAAGGAAGAGATCCATCGAGTACTTGAGTAGTCGGAGTCGGCTGCATTATGACTTTCACGAGCCCTAGAAACATTTTTTTGGATTAAATAAAAATTTTTATTAAAATTAATACAAAATAAATAACAAATTCTAAGCATCTATATGGGGAAAATAGTATTAATATGACAAAACTATTCCACTCAAACTTTTTTCAACATTGCCTGTATTATGGAGTACTTCTTTTTTTTTTAAGAGCTTTTTTGGCCACAAAACAAGTCTTAATACATTTAAAAGGACTAAGATCATAGAAAATATGTTCTCTGACCAAAATAACAGAAAGAAATTTAGAAAATTCACAAATATGTGGAAATTAAACAATATTCTCCTAAATAAACAATGGGCAAAAAGAAAAATCACATAGAAATTAGAGAGTACTTTGAGATAAAATCAAAGCACAACATATCAAAATTTATAGGCTACAGGCCTCCTGCAGTGCTTAGAGGAAAATGTATGCTTGTAAACACCTATATTAAAAATAAGAAAAATCTCAAATCAGTAATGTAAACTTCTACCTTAGGAAAATATAAAAAGAAGAGCAAACTAAACCTAAAGCAAATGTAAGTAGGAAATAACAAAGATTACAACAGAAATACATGAAATAGGGAATTTAAAAACAATAGAGAAAATCAACAAAACCAAAAGTTGGTTCCTGAAAAAGATGGACAAAATTGCAAACATTTATCTAGACTGACCAACAAAAAAAAGAGAGAAGACGGAAATTACTAAAATTAGAAACACCACAGGAGCATGGGAGAGCAGTTGCTTCTTCTGTTACACTGGAGTGGGCTTTGAGGAGAGAGATGTCCTCTTGTTTTTTTTGTTGTTGTTGTTCCAGTCTCCACTGGTCACTGTCCTTGTGTCACTGCAGTCAAGTGTCTGGCAGTCGAGTGTCATGGCTACTGTGGCTACTGTGGTGGCATTGAGCCACTTTTTGCAGTAGCCGTGGCTGTGGCGGTGGCTTTGGCAGGCCACCCATGTAGGCCAATGTTTTCCGCCTGCTCCGTGCCTGGTTGTGGGCGGGGGATGCTGTCCTGGGCTCCTTCCTCGGATGCTAAGTGTGCTCTGTTTCCCTAGAAACTTTTGCCTTCTTAGGCCTCTTCCACTATTAAAAAAAAAATTAAATATTATATTTTATGACTATATTGGTATAAAGATGAATGTAATCCAAGCTGAATTCACTATTATAGATTCATTATTATCACATCTATTATTTTGTGATTTTTAAAAAAATTGAATTCAAACATTTTTGTGGGCCCTTAAAAGTACCCTGGACTCTAGACTTAGTGCCCCCTGTGCCTACTGGATAGGTTGGTCCTGGCTATGTGATGGGCATGGAAATTCAGCTGTGCTCCAAAGAATGGGTAGAAAAAACTTGAAATCCCTTTTGAAATCACACCACAGGATGAGGGTAACTCCATCTACTCATTAAGTATTAGCTTGTCAATGTAATAAACACACAAATGCTGTAAATTTCTAGATGGGAAATGATGGAATGGTATAGCCACGGCTCATCAGAACCTCAGTATAAAAATCCTAAGATTTGATCTTTCTTAATATTTTTCCTCAGTATTATATCTGAATAGAATAGTTAAACAAATAATATATAATGAAATCAGAAGTGCTGGTTTCCACCACCAAACAGTTAGACACACCTGAGTTTGAATCCCATTCATTCCCGTGACCCATTTACTACTCTATGAACCTGGGCGGGAACATGATCCTGAGCCTAACCAGAAAAATTGAGTTATTAACACCTGCCAAGCAGGGTTGTGGTGAAACAGTGAAATGGTTTGTCTAAATGCCTTGTGTATAGGCCGGCCCGTGGCTCACTCGGTAGAGTGCGGTGCTGATAACACCAAGGCCACGGTTTCGCATCCCTATATAGGGATGGCTGGTTAGCTCACTGGCTGAGCGTGGTGTTGACAACACCAAGCCAAGGGTTGAGATCCCCTTACCGGTCATCTTTTTTAAAAAATAAATAAATAAATAAATAAATAAATGCCTTGTGTATGCTTGTTGTTTACTTTTAAAACAAAACTCTTTCTTGGCCATCTCCGCTTTCCATGGCATGACCTCTAGCCTGAGGTCTTGTCTTCTCTCCACATGGTGGCAGGAGTCCTTTTACAGTGTCCTTCCCCTTTCTCTGTCCAGGCGTTTTGTACTAGCCCGATACTCTGCTTTATTGAATTAGTCATATTAGTTATCTAGTGTTTCAGTTTCATACATAGACCTATGTTTATTAGATAAATAAATCCTATAAGTCCTTTCTCCAAGTCCATCTTTAAGAAAATAAATACGGGTGTATTTTTGTGCCTATTTCCTGAAGTTTCTGATGCACCTTCAACATGTGTTCTATTTATTTTCCACAGATAGTAGTTCCTCAGGGAAGAACAGAAAAGAGGAAAATTATATTTTTGAGTCCAAGAGTGATCGAGGAGGAGGGGAACACCCAGCCCCAGAAACAGGTAAATGTATACCTTGGAAACTCATTGCAGAGGATAGTCATCCGCAGAGCTACATGTCCTCTAGTTGAGGGTATCAGATGAAACCATGAGAGTTCACGACAGGAGCAGTGATCTGTGGACCAAGAGAGCTATCTTCTCATCTCCTGTGTCATGCTGCGTCGTGGGGCTCTTGGTTGTAACTTACCATCGTTAGATCTCAGCTTCCTCTTTTATACACCCTTCCAGGTGTGACGTTCTGTGGAAAAGTCATACTTGTTGCATAGTGATTAGAACACAGTCTCTACAGTCAGATGCCACAGTTCAAATCCTGGCTTCACTACTAAACTCTATGATCTTGGACAGGTTATCTCATCTCTCTGGATCTCAATTTCCTCATTAGTAAGATGAGCAAGGTAACTATACCTGCCTCGTAGGGCTGTTGGGGAGAATAAATGGGTCAATTAATATAAAGCATTTAGCACTGCTTGGCTCATATAATGATCCACATATATAAAAGGTGGCTATTATTATTGAGTTATTTATGATGCAAGAAGAATAAAGGTCTCTGAGTACATTGTTCCCTCTCCAGAGCTGCAGTGATAAAGGCAACAGGAATGGAGAAAGGTTGCAGAAGGTAGAGGGAATGTTGACTAAGTGGACGAAGAATACCATCATTCCATAATTTTGATTGTTTTTAACCAGAAAGAAAACACTTTCAACATAGTCCTGCAGAAAGGAAGGTTTTAGTCCTAAGTCCCACTAATTAGTAAAAGAAGATTTAGGAGAACAAAATATGATTCTTAATAGATCTAAACATTGAGAAAACTTTCTTTTTACCCTAGAATATTCTTTGTAATATGTGGACAATATTAAAATATAATTTTTAAACAATAGATGACTAAGAATAATCCAGATGTCAAATACCTGGGTCCTCCCCCAACCCCCGCCCCCGCAGTCTGCTGGACTCCTGGACTTAGCCTGTCCCAAGATTTTTTAATAAAGGGGCCCTGTCCCCCATCAACATACAGAGGGAACCAGTCTGCCTCTTGTCCCCATGCCCAAATGCCTCCAGAGCCTCAGTTCTAATGGGCTAGTGCCCACTCTAGTTGTTACATTTTTTTTTTTTTTTTTTTGTCCTTTTTGTGACCGGTAAGGGGATTGCAACCCTTGGCTTGGTGTTGCCTGCACCGCGCTCAGCCAGTGAGCGCACCGGCCATCCCTATATAGGATCCGAACCCGTGGTGGGAGCGCCACTTCGCTCCCAGCACCGCACTCTCCCGAGTGAGCCATACATATTTTGTTGTTACATATTTTGAATGTCGCTGCCATTCATATGAACAGAGTACATAATTTATCACCTTTGCTGGTTACTGAGATTGCTATCATGGTGTGTTTTAGAAGGATTGGAAAATTTTAAATCTCAAATGACCCAAACTAAAACCATTGAAGAAACAATGCCAACTAAGTATTAAAAATTGAGAATAATTTTCAATATTCTTTTTCCTTGTCATCAAAACATTAAACAGGAATCAAATTTGACAGTTCAGCAACCTCATATCTGATTTGGCAAACAGAACATTTACCTAGGGTATGTGTCTGTTTAGCCATTACCATAGCTAAACAAGAGCTCCAGAATTGGGATCAGGATCTTCGACCACAGGATCTTCGACCACAGCTTCCTTCTCCTAATTTAGCCTGAACACTGGTGCTCATCTTTAATCATATCAGGCACATTTTAAGGTCTGGAAGCCTCTTATTCATTTTGTCGTTCTGAACAGGCAGAACTGGGGCTGGGTGTTGTGTTCCAGTTTGTAAGAAATGGCTTGGGGTTCCTGGCATTTCTGTGGGGGCTTACCAAAGTCTTTTTTTTTTTTTTTGGTCCTGTTCATTTGTTACGTATCCAACTTATGTGCTAGTACAGGAAACTAGAGCGAGAACTCACACCTTCAGGCCACTTAGCCCTTTCAAAACTTCTTTCATCATGATGGCCATCAGGAGCCAATAGTGGCTGCCAAGCCCCCAAACTGTTGGCATAGAGAAATTAAGCAGTGATTCTTGACACCTCCAGAAGGCTGATGTATGTGGAATGTACAAAGCAGCTCTAGAACTCAATTCCAGGCCTTGGGTTTATCACAGATTTTATTTTTCACAATTCTCTATGGGAATTTTGGCCTCACCCAAAACTTTGATACCCAACAGTCACTAAAGAAACTTCCACATCCCCTCCTCCTGTACCCAGACACTTCCAAACTGTTCTTGATGATCTTGTTCAGGAGGTTTACCTGGGATTCTGAAAGTACTGGAGGTTGAAATGCCACTAGTGTATAATCAGCTCCAGGTCCTCTTGTCTTCAAGAGGAGGCCACCTATGCCTGGGACCAGTGTGTTAAGCCCAGAAAGTCAAGGCTGTCCAGAATGAACTTCCACAGCTACCTGCCCCCAAACGTATACACCTGTCTGTTTGCACCCTCCCTCTCTTCCTTCCTTCCAGTTCTAAAGGAAGAGGCATCCCCTCTTTCCAAGGTCATTCTCTCCCCCAATCTTGATGTAGCCCCTTATCTCCTCAGATACATTTCTCCATCATCTATTAACTCTCCAATGCTTTTAATCTCAGTTTCTCTACAGGCTCATTCTGCCAGTGGCTGCAAACACATTCAGATCTCTCTCAATATATGAACAAAAAACAAAATAGCATCCTTCAATCCGCAGTTCTCCTGTGAATGAGTTACCAACTGCTAAACCCAGTGGATTCTCCAGGCTTCACCTCCCTTGACCTCTCCTTAACATTTCGCTCAGCTGATTCAGCTGAGCACTTTCTTCTTGGACTACTCTCTTCCCTCAACTTCCAAGACCCCACTCTCTCTTGGTTGTCCTTACTGTTTCTCTTTTTTCTGTTCTTTTTGGTCCTCTTCCTTTGCCTGCCCTCTAAATGTTGGTGTTTCCCAGGACCTTGTTCCTCGCCCTCCTTTCTTCTTTCTCTCAGGCAATCTCACCCACTTTCATGGCTGCAACTACCACCTTTATGCCAAAGGCTCCCACATATTTAGGCCCAAATAATCCAAGAATCAAATAGAAAATTTTAGCTAGATCACCTGTAGACATCTCAATCTGGAAATGTCAAAAAATAAACTTATCTCCCTCACCCACCCCAAACAAGCTCCATCATACATCTAAATCACTCAAGCAAAAATCCTGCAAACCAGACAGATGTACTACTCCTTTTTACATCTGTAATTCATGTATTGCATTTTTTTCTTCATTTAAATGTCTGTCTAGGGCCGGCCCGTGGCTCACTCGGGAGAGTGCGGTGCTGATAACACCAAGGCCACGGGTTCGGATCCTATATAGGGATGGCCGGTTTGCTCACTGGCTGAGCGTGGTGCTGACAACACCAAGTCAAGGGTTAAGATCCCCTTACTGGTCATCTTTTAGAAAAAAATAAATAAAAATAAATAAATAAATAAATGTCTAACCCAGACTTAAAAGTCATTCAAAAACGGTCTCATTTACCTTTTAGACAAGTAGTGCACTCTAGTGGTTAAGACCACAGGCTCTGGAGCTGTCCTGTCTGGGGTTGTATCCAAGCTCTACCATTTTCAATACAATCTTAGACAAGTCACTTAATTCTTGATGACTTCACTCCCTCATCTGTAAAATGGGGATAAAAATAGTACCAACTTATATGGTGGTTGTGATAATTCAATGAGTTAAGCCATAAAGCTGGAACTCAGCATCAGCTTATCTTTTGGGGGGTATTTTTATTTTTATTGTTTTTTAATTGACAAATAAAAATTGCTTATTATCGGGCCGGCCCGGTGGCGCACTGCTACAGTGCGCCGCTTGGGAGCGCGATGGCACTCCCGCCGAGGGTTCGGATCCCACATACAGACCGGTTCCCGCTCACTGGCTGAGCGAGGTGCGGGCACGACGCCGAGGTTTGCGATCCCGTTGCCGGTCCCGGTCCGGTACGGGCGCAACACTGAGGGTTGTGATCCGTTGCCGGACACGAAAAAAGACAAAAAGGAAAAAAAAATTGCTTATTATCTTTGATTACCAGCATTTTGCTCAGTGTCTGGCACATGGAAGGTTCTTAATTAATTTGGAATGAATGAATAAATGAATGAGAGAAAGTGTTATAGAATCAGCTTACGCAATGGAGATGTTTGCTCCTCTAGTTCCACCAGTTGGCAAGACTACTGCAGCTAAAAATAGTTCTATCATATCATCTCCAAACCTGGCCTGACTACAGAGTAGATCAGACTAAGAATAGAGCCTGCTGAGCTTGATAAGAAAGACTGTTCTGGGGCACACTCTGTCCCTTTCAGACTCCTGCAAACCTCTAAAGGCTACTTCTAATCTGGTGTCTAGGACCAGCCCCAGAGGAAAAGCTAAAGACATGTTTTCCTTAACTACCCTTGGCCAAAATTATATCAGCATATTCTGAAGTTATCTTTCAACAAAGGCTCTACTGGATGAGAGTAGGTTCCCTGGATTTAGAAAAGGAAATAAGTTTCTTAAGCCCTAAGCAGAACAGGAAATCGTGTTATTTCATACTCATTTTAAGAGAGAATGATCATGTATGAATTCATAAATGTAATCTATGACTCCAATGAAAAAATTTCCTATGGTCAGAATGCCTATTACAGTTGGGTATGAGGGTGATCTGACTCCAACTTTTGTACCTACTGATGCCATACAAATTTTGTAGGAACCTGGTACAGAATTTGGTTTTAAAGAGGTCTGGGTTTGCGACCTAGACCTACAATTTACAAGCTATACTCCCTTAGGCAAATTATTTAACCTCTCTGCACCTTAGTTAATCTGCAAAATGGTGATAATACTACCACCAAGTTGAGTTGTTTGGATTAAATAAAAGTGCATACAAAGTGCTTATCATATACAGTAGTAAATAATGGCTGTCATTGTTATTAATCATGGACCCACCTTATCCGTTTCTAACCTTTCCACAGGTGCAGTGTTACCCCTGGCACTGGGTTTGGCTATCACTGCTTTGCTGCTTCTCATGGTTGCTTGCCGACTACGACTGGTGAAACAGAAACTTAAAAAAGCTCGTCCCATTACATCTGAGGAATCTGACTACCTCATAAATGGGATGTATCTATAATAAATGTAATTTAAGTAGCTTGGGGCAAGGACATGTTTTACTTATAACCTGTACATATATTAGGTTCTGGATATTTACAACCTCTTTTGTTTTTAATTGGGCTAGAAGATTCTGCAACTCCCAAACCTTTGTCTTTATTATTTATTGTAGAAAGATTTTCCTTAGGAAGTATGCAAAATAGTTTGAAACTTAGGAATTCATATGATTAAAGATTTTTACAAATCTAATTGTGATTTACGCAGGCTGTCCCTGAAAATAGAAATTTGTAGTTAGCCAAGACAGAAAATTCAGTATCTCATGTAGTCTTAGGATGGCAGCATTACTTTTTAGAAGCCAACTGTTGGCCCCTGGCAACACTGGACCACTTTAGGCACAGCTTCCCCTTGTTCTGTGACCCTATTTCTCCTCTAAGCTTCCAATGCTCGTTTTTCTTTTCCCCTTCTAAACCTATTTCTGAGAATGGATCTCAAGTGAGTTTATACTTCAATGAGATATTACCTTTGACAGGTATATCCAGATTATCAACCTTATGAATAGATCAACGAGGCCTCAGAGAAGATGAGTGCAGGTCCTCCCACCCAAGCCTTTGACATCATGTCTTGTTCATGGCTGCCTCCTTAAGCTGATCTTTAGGAGTAAAAACTCAGACTTTTGATTACAAGCAGCTCTAATAGAGTCATGATGTGAGATAAGGAATCGAGGTGGAAGCAGAGAACCACCTGGCGGGCCAAAAGTTTTAACAAAAACTTGGCTAAGGGCAAAGTGAGCAAGGAGGATGTTAGCGCTTTGTTGTATCTGCTCAACACTGCTCCACGGTCCAGAACACAGCAACTCACATCAACAGTCACTGGTTTTCAACATTAATCTTTCTTGATAAAGAGAAAAATGCAAATTGAAAAGCAGAACAGGAATGGATTTCCAGGTACAGCTTTTGTAAAAATGTTACCTTGTTTAAGTATCAGCAGGTTATTTCATCCAATGGAATGAGCCAGGTTTTTTTTCATTATTTTTTACTTCTATAAAATGTTATAATGTGCAATCGGCGAATGCCAGGCTTTTGTATTTCTAGAGCATAAAGCAGTTTTGCACAAATTCATTTTTATAGAAAATTGGCATCCAGCTTATTAGCATCTTTCCCTTTTTAATTTGTGGGCTTTTAAATCAAATTATTCCCATAATCACTTAATGTCAGAATTATACACATTCTAGAAATTATCCTACTGAAAGAAATGTATAGTGTGGTACCTGTCTACACTCACATGATTTTCCTATTTATGTAATGGTTTTTTTTTTTTTTTTTTTTTTTTTTTTTTACACAAGTGGCAGATCTTTTAAAACTCTTGAAAAACACTCCGGAGTCTAATTACACTCTTTTTAGACTGAACCTAAGGTAGATTATTCCTTTAGCAAACGGCTTGATCTGGTGGATACAATGTTATCAAAATACATTAACAAATGGAAAGTTTGTTCTAGTTCTAGCAAAACAGAGAAATTAGGTATTTTTGTTTCCTAACAAACTCCAGCATTTTGTTGAATGTTTAGAATTGAGCAAAGATTTAAATTTCTCAAGGGCAGTTTAGAGAAATGAATTGTGTGAATGAACTTATGATGTTTGTACTCTGTATGTGATGCTGTGCGGTTTGTTTTTATATAGGAGGATGTCACCTATAGCCATACCCAATAAAATTAAAATTCATGAGGCATGCATCTTTCTGCACATCTTTTATATGTGAAGAGTTAAACACAATTTAGTCTTGCTATGGTGTTCAAATACTTAAGATGTCCCATATGTATGTAAACAATATTCCTTTAATAAATTGTACTTTATTCTTAAGCCTTTTTTTTTTTTACCTTGTAGTAGAATCATAAATGGCTAATATTGACTGAGCTGTTCATGTTGTTCCCTCAACCCAAACATAGAGAAGCATACATCTATCCGTCCTTCAGTTTTGCTGTTCAAGGCAGACCTTGTTGATGAATGTCACTGTATTTCACCTCTGTAAACGTACTACGAGTGTGCTGTCCCAGAACGTAGGCACTGTCCTTACCTTCAGATGTTTCCTCAACATTATGCTCCTTAACACAAGCATCTGAGCCTGAGATTCTGTAATTTGGGATCACTGTTAAATTATACTGTCACAAAACAATTTCATGTTTGGGTTTGCTTTCTTTTAGGATTATGTCACTTTGTTCCTAGCAGAGCTATTTCAATCATTTGTTTTCTGGACTCCAGGATTCTACAATTTTTCTCATTAAAATTGAATGAGAATTTCTAACAAAGAACTGCTCAAGCTGAATACAAAGGAATAAAAGCTTAGCTTGTAGTCTGCTTTCACGAACGTTCTCATCTTGCTGGCTTTTGAAGCACCAGTGTTGTGGGCTGCTTCCTTCTCGGTTCCTGGCCCTGTTTTCCCAGCTCTTTCGCCCACTGGATTCTAATATTCTAAAGATAAAGTGAATATTTTCAGTTATAGTTACTTTAATGACTAAAAGCATGTCTTCATTTCTACTTGTTTTTGTTCTTAAATCACATCAGCTTTTTAATCTTGTATATCATCATGCTGCAGATTGGAGAGATCAACTTGTATTATTCAGCTTATAGATCTCTTTATAGTTATTTCTAAATTTAGGAAACCTCAAATTTTAATACAAAATAATTTTAACTTTTCCAAAAAAGCTTAGGAAATATTGTGTTAAGTACGTGGACTTTTTTTTAAAAATGCACTTTTTCATTTTCATATGGTTGTTTCATATGACTGTAGACCCAAATAGAGTAGCGTTTTTACATTTAAACAAAACAGTTCCACGGATGAAATGGTAGATTTCGTTAAATCTCTAAATGTATTTATTATCTAAAGATTTGTGTATGAAGAATAAAGAAATCAGAACCATGAACTACCCCATCTGAGACCATACCTTTAACAACTTTTCCAGTGAGGGTAGATGAAGCAGCAATAGTCCAGCACGCCATAAAACCCCTACCTGCAACTTCCTGGCCTGCTTTATCCAACTCTATTGCCTACCTCCTCATTGCTCAATGGAGCCAAGATTCTAAAGATGGACAGGACTTCCCCCCACACCAGAAAATATCCTTTTTACAATTGATTTTAAACTGATACGAAGTGTTCATATGGAAATTCTGCAATTTTTTTATCCATAATGAAATTTCTGGGTAAAATCATGACAGAATAATCACAATGGGGGTTAAAATCTAAATAAACAAATAGTGGTGACAAAAAATTATTCCATGTGATGTGATACTTTGGGGGACACAGTGAAGTGTTCAGGGTGTAGGAATTCAAATACAAATGTCCCCAGCTGCCCAAAGCCCCTAGTTTGCTGCCCTCTCACACGTAAAGTGTCCTCAGTATTGCCATCACCTGACCTTTGGACAAGAAAATGATTTTTTCTATAATGCTCATCCTATTGGGCCACCACCTGAGAATGAGCTCTTCAGATCCAATAGCCCTAGAATGTCTTCTCATGTTAAAAGACAGACAGAAGGAAAGACAGGAAGAAGACAAAGGGAAAAACATGAAGACAGAAAGACAAAGGAGAGAAAGGGAAAAGAAAGGAAAAAAAAAAAAGAGAGGAAGGAAAGAAGGGAAGGAGGGAAGAAGGATGGAAGGAAGGAAGGAAAGAACATGAGAAGTGCCCAGAGATTCACTGGACTTTTTACTTTTGTGAATTAAAACTCCAGAATGTTGAATAAATAGGACTTTAGGGGACCATCAATAAATGGGTAGAGTTAGAAATAATGTATCTTAACTAGGTCTAAAAGTTTTTCTCTTTAAGAGAGTTAAATTTATGTATGTGTGTAGGTCAGAGATAAGAAATCTCTTTAATCTTCAGTATTTGTAACATCTAAAATATTTTAGTATTTAATTTTTCCTTAATAGAAGTTGATTCCTTTATATACTATGAAGGGCAATGCTGAAAATATTTCAGCAATTTCCAGTCTAGTGAGATCCTTCTGAAACAAGATTTTTTTTCTTACAGTTTTGGTCTTATTAAAGGCTAAATCTAGCTCTCAAAACTTATCTAATATAAGCCTGAACTAAGAATTTCCAGTTTCTATTGAGGGTTTTAACTCTTTCCCAGGCAATAACATTAGAAGAAAATGACATTTGGGGGAAAATAATCCATTAACATTGTCCATGCAAATGTCTGACTTCCTACTGCTGTAATTTTAAAAACCGTCATTGTTAGAAAGAAATTTGACTAAACCTTTTAAATTGGCTATAATTGGCAATAACGTACCCACACTAAAGCAGCTTTAAAAAACTCGATTCTATTCTAAAATAGAATAATACTTTTTAGTGATAACTTAATATTCATGAATTCTTTGAAGCTATTCTTGGTGTGTGATTGTCAGCCAGGAAATAAACCTGCCTAGTTTTGTATCTAAACTATTAGACACAGCATTTGTCTGCGCCAACTAGGTGACACATAAGTTTGTCTTATCATATTTATAAACTGTCTCCTCAACCAGATTGCAAATTTCTTGAAAGTAAGCATCTCTTTCTATCCTCAAAACCTCACATAGAGATTTACATATAATAAAATGTTGGTAGTGGTTATGAAGGACACAGACTAGTGAATAAGTTTAAGAATTAATTTTAAGCCCTAAAGAATATTTGACCTTTGCAACTACCTCAAATGACACTGAGTCCTAGACCACGAGGGTTCATGGCCTGGGTCCAGAAGCAATAAACAACAGTAAACTGAAATCTGCAATTAACTTAAACTCTCAAGTTTTGGGCACCAAATAATGCCAGTTTCCTGTGTCTCAGACCTTACCCAAGAAGAGATGCTTGTGAAAAGATGTATGCACAATTTTTTTAAAAGCCATTTTTAAAGAAGTAATAAAGAAGTACTAATTAAGGCTTTTTTTTTTTTTTTTTTTTGTGACCAGTAAGGGGATTGTAACCCTTGGCTTGGTGTCGGCGGGAGCGCCGCTGTGCTCCCAGCGCCGCACTCTCCCCAGTGAGCTACGGGGTCGGCCCCTAATTAAGGTTTTTTAAGAGTGTGGGAGGAGTGTCTCACATGCGACCAGTAAGGGGATTGTAACCCTTGGCTTGGTGTCGGCGGGAGCGCCGCTGTGCTCCCAGCCCGCACTCTCCCGAGTGAGCTACGGGGTCGGCCCCTAATTAAGGTTTTTTAAGAGTGTGGGAGGAGTGTCTCACACACCAAGGATCTCCTAGCCAGAATTATGCACAATTCTACACAGTAGAAGGGCTTTGCTGGGAGTGCTACCTCTGCCCATTCTAGTGTGCTTATAATATTTCCACAAGTTCCAAAACCCTTAAAAAAACTCAGATCTTTTTTTAAAAGATACAAAACCACAATATTTAAATAAGATCCCAAAGTGTTCCTGCTTTCTTAGAAACTCATTTTACAGTCATTATATTAATAAATCTATTTTTATGTGAGAAAAAGGTTTTGGTATATGTTTATCCTCAACCCTGTTCTTCCCTGACATTAAGTCAATTCATTCGCCCACTCACCCATTCAACATTTATTGTACATCTGCTATAGGACAAGCCCCATGCTAGCTAGACAGGCAGAGAAATGATGAAGTATAGTCCTTGCCCTGAAGAAATGTAGTCACATTCCATAATGTACAGTTGGATTAATGCTATTTATCTGCTCAGATTTCACAAAACGGAGTATTAGAGAAACAATTTTTTTCTCTGTGATCTTAGTCAGGATTCTGTATCTGGTGGACCTGCTGTTCTTTCTTCTATATTCACATGCCACCAATGACTCTTTTACTTTTAACTTTATTTGGCAAAGCAGCACTGCATAAACTGTTCAGTAACTAGGACACAGCTTACACAGCATGTTAAATTCATATACATTATCAGCAGCAAATTAGAAACAGAAAAAACAATACTGAGCTACGAGTCTCCTATATTTAGAGAGAGAGAGAAAAGGAAGAACTATGTCAGTTATGTCCAATCTGAACAGCTGAGTGTTTATAGGACATCCCCTGCCATCTTAAGTTTTAATATTTACAAATGCTTAGTTTTAAGGTAACAAAGCAGCTGATTGTATCTACAACATGCTATTCTATAACACCACATCAAAAGCTTTAAAAAGAAAGCTCATCTCTATTTTCTTAGTAGCATCTAACAGACATTCAAATACCAAGAATCTTATGTGAATGGTGGTGTTACCTGATGCACAAAAGCAATCTGATCAATTAATATCAGAACAGAATTAAGTGTCCAAGAAAAGAAAAACCACTCCTCAAAATCAATTCGCAAACTTAGTTTTCCATTTTGCAGAGCCCTTTCTTTTAATATTTTAAAGTAAAATGTGGGCATGTTAAAGTAATGAAACACAAACTTATACTCTGCATCCTTCCTCTACCAATTTGGCTCTGTGCCTCCTTGAAGAATTAGAAACCCTACAAAATCACACATTTTCATGCTGAAAATAATAGTGTATCAAAGTCCAAACAAGCTGTGATGGTGTTGGTTTTCAAAAAGCTTTGAGGACTGAGATGAGCAATCCACTGTAATATTATAGACTGGTCAAGCTGATGTTGCTTTTACAGTTCATCCCTGGGGGAAGAAAAGAGAAAAATGTAAGTAGGAGTTACACAGTGTAAAACTTGGCCTTCTAATAGTTTAGATACAACTATTAAATCAGTAAAAAGGCACTGATCCTCAAGCAATATATTAAAAAAATAAAAGAGCAAACAATCCCAAGTCAAAGCAAAGATGGAAGTCAGCCATTCCAAACATCTCTCATGCTACTCCATAATGAAGTATGAAACCTAAAGGGTCGGGGTTCTTAATTTTTTAATTTTAAAAATAGATTTCTTCCTTCAAGGTAAAATATTTGGAAAAATTATAAATTTTAGATCTAGGACTATCTCACTAATACTATTTATTGTAAAATGATGACTTGAATATTTAATGTTCAAAAATTTTTTTATAGTGACATTTACAAAACTGGACAAAAATTTAGTCTTTTGCTAAGAGTGTCTTTTAGCGATTGTGGAGTGGGTCAATCTCCACCCAAACTCTCTGGGAGAAAATGCATCATCTGTAGGTATAATATACCTGTCAGCTGATTTCATAAGGCAGCTTTATCAGCTCCAAAAGAAACCATTTGCTCAGCCAGGTGCAGCACTGTACCAGCAACTTCCAGTGAGAGGAAGGAAGGAATAAAAATGCAGCCTACAGCGAACTGTATGGTATATAAATTATACTTCACTGAAGTGGTTAAAAGTGAAAAAATAAACTACCAGAAAAGCCTAAAAGCTTTATATTTGAGGGTAATCTTGGTGACAAAAACATTGTTAAACACTCAAGTACTTGAGTAAAGGTAAAGGAAAATGATGCTTACAGTTAAATCTCAAATGATTCAGAAAAAAATACTACATATATACAAGGGGTCTTCAAAAAGTTCATGGAAAGACTCATATTATCTTTTAATTTTATTTCTCCAAGAATTTTTTTTTTTTTTAAAGATGACTGCTAAGGGGATCTTAACCCTCGACCTGGTGTTGTCAGCCCAATGCTCTCCCAAGTGAGCTAACCAGCCATCCCTATATAGGGATCCGAACCCGTGGCCTTGGTGTTATCAGCACCACTCTCCCAAGTGAGCCACTGGCCGGCCTCTCCATGAACTTTTTGAAGTACCTTTGTATGTATTTACAGGAAGAGGGGGTGAGAAAGCAAATGTGGGAAAATGTTAATGAATGAAGAGATTCAGGAGTTCTTTGTACTATTCTAGCAACTGTAATAAGAATTAAAATTAAAAGTTTTGAAAAAGTTGTTAAAATAAATTTGAAGGGAAGGAGAAATAAAGAACCTATATTTCATGGGTAAGTTGGTAAATTAAGGCATTACCGGACAATTTGCTTTTTTTAAAACTGAAGTTTGTAAACTGTGCAAGAAGATATTTTAAAAATTACCTCTCCCATAGCTGCCTTTATCATATGGTATTGGATTATGTGTCAAATGACAAATTATCAGTTCTGATTCTTTTTAGTATATTCTTCTAAATAACAGTATTATAATTCTCATAGAACAGCTTTTACTTAAATTCATGCAAGCATTAAAATATTTAGTCTATCAAGAGTTCATTTGCAAAGTGTTCTATTCATAAACTAAATTCACTTGTGCTTTTTAAAACATGAAGATATTATTTTTTAAAGTAATTTACTACATTTTATTTACCTGCTGCAAGGCATTAAGTATATTGTAAATAAATTAAGGCTCCATCAATAACATAGTACAATATTTCCAAATATCCTCCCATTAAAAAAATTTTTTTAATAAAATCAATTTGCTTAATAGACCTGAATTTTAAAATTTAGGGTGCCAGGGGGAAAAAAATTGCTGCCAGTGCACGTATAACCTTATCACATCTCAATACTGCAAAACCCATGTAACTTTCAAGTTATTAAATTTTTTTTTAATAAAATCAATTTGCTTAATAGACCTGAATTTTAAAATTTAGGGTGCCAGGGGGAAAAAAATTGCTGCCAGTTCACGTATAACCTTATCACATCTCAATACTGCAAAACCCATGTAACTTTCAAGTTATTAAATTTTTCCTAATGTTCAAAATTCTACATATCTTTCTTAATCTGACTTATATGCATAGACCATTTATAATAAAAAGTAGTATGTCCTACATTTTTAGAAAGGCTCTTTAAAATTGTTATATACATGCTAAATATGTTCGTTAGGTTAATAACTGCAAATATCTATCATTACATAACATGTAATTATGCATACTATAATTACTATTAGGTTTTAATAATTCCATACTAGTACTATTTAGTCTTATATATTCTTTACCAAGAACAAATGAAAAGATGTACTTACTAGGAAACAACACTCAAAATCCATGAATGTTTTCTAATAATTTAATGTACTGTCTGATGTAATAAAAGCTCTGTACAAAGTATCATGAGAAACATAAAAGAATTCCAAAAGCAACAGAATACATCCCTGCCTTCAAGAATGCAAAATACGTCATAATGTGGTAACATATGTAAAGAAATAAATAAGGAACAACACAGAATATGGAACACAGATCAATAGATACCCTAGGACTTACACTGTCAATATTAGAAATGCACAATCAATTCCTAACATCTTTTTCGTGTAGGCATGATACTTTAAGAAGACATCAATAAACAAAGAGCTTATGGAATAATAACCCTGAAGCATGCCACAGATTCACAAACCAGAGATGGACCTACTGCATTCACTCTTGCAGCTATTAAAAACAAAAATAAAACTTTTACCAGAAGATTCAATATTGATTTCTGCATATATAAAATAAAGATACTTGTTTAAAATAAAATACAAAATTTAAAAGTATTAAGTTTCTGAAGCAACTTATACAACTACTACATATCCAAAGTCATGAACATAATACCACAAATCCTAGGTCTACGGCCTATAGATCTGCATTCTCTCCGCTTCTATTAATCCACCGAAATTACAAGGAACATTCTTCCAGGTATAAGGAGACAGAAGCCTACATTCCGATTTGGGGCTTTTTTTGGTACTAGAAGTCAGCATGCCCACTAGTTCTCATTTTTTAAAGATATAGTTTCTGTCATACCTCAGCAAAAATTCAATCTCACCCTCATCAGAGCACTGCAACTACCTCTGGATTCCTCAGTAAAAGAAGGATGGGAACCTGGAGAGAAACAACAGAAGGTTCCTAGGAAAGCATTATGATGAGTTGTGAAATTAATCCTGAAGAAAGTGAAAGAACAGAAATCATCTAACCTGACAAGAAGCTGACCAAGGAGTTTTTCAGATGGTAATTCCCAAATGTGGGAACAATGACACTTAGAAAACAATGACAATTTTGAGATGTAGCTATCCTTACTACCATTACCTTAATTCAGGCCACCATCATTTCATCCCTAATTGCTACAGCCACTTCCTTTTCTGACTCTCCTTTTGTCCCTTTCCAATCTACTCTCTACATGACAGCCATGTGAAATGTCATTCTGGTAATTTCAGTGCCTGGCTTAACCACTTAATTGCTCCCTACTGTGAGTCTAAACACACTATGTGTAATTGCCTGTTTGTCTTGCTCTTTGTATGGATCTGCTACATGACTGTAATAGCTCTGTGAGAGTGGTCAGCTTCAAATCCACAGCTGAAGATTCCTGGCACTTAGCACGGTGGGCATATACATACTTGTCGAATTAATGAATGGTATTAAGAAGGTCCTCACACTGAAAAATAAGGCTTAACATCAGAACAAATTGCCAAAGGAAGGTATTAGATGTTGCTTTTCCAAAGGCAATTTAGGGGCTGACAAGTTAGTTCAGTTCATTAGAACACAGCCTTATAACCCCAAGATCAGGGTTCAGTTCCCCTTACCAGCTAACTACAAAAAAAAAAAACCCCAAAATCCAAAGGTAATTTAAAATAAACACTTTTTTTTTGTTAAGAACAGTTTAAGCATAAATTGGCCTGAAGGGAATAGAAATAGGACACACAAAAACTAGATGTCCTCTCAAATCTATTCCAGACCTAAATTTAAAAGAAGCAGGGGTATTTTCTTGGGGAGAAGGGAAAGGAGGTAGTGGTGAGAACTGATTTCAGCTCACATTTGACATAGGGTCCTTTCCTGTTACTCCCAGTTAAGTCTGGCCCATGTGATGCCCTGGTGAAGAAGAGAAGGGTGGAGGAGAGAACACTGAGGTGATTCATAGATCTGGTAGTGGCCAGTTCCCTCTATCACTACAGCTCCTGTCATGAACCACGCCTCATCTGCCCCACTCCCCCCTCTGACTGTCCCTATGCTCTCAATGGGTTCCAGTAAAATTGTTTCCTCTCCTTCTCCCTTTAGGCCTAGAGTGATAAAAGTTTCCTGCTATTACCCTGGGTGGCCCTGGTCCCTAGGTATGTCAGTATCCTTTACTGGTTCCCATAACTTTTCCCGTTTCTCTGAAAAGTCCCTTCATTAAAATCACTTCAACATCCTAGCTGAGTATCATACTTTCTGTTTCCTGCCTGGACCCTGACTGATACAGTACACAGTTTATGAACACAAACAGCAATAGCAGATTAATAGCCTCTTAAGATTTTAAGTTAACTGTTGATGTTGTACCTTCTCAAACATCCTATTTCCCAGTAATTTTTTAGGACAAAGTTATTTTAAATGTGGCAGTTTTTTTTTTTCTTTTCCCAATTTAGTTTCTAGATTCTGTTTCACCTATAGCTATATTCTTTACACTTCCAGAATTACAATAAAGTAACACTACCTTGGTAATCAGAACCACATGTTTAGATGTAGGAAAATGTATTTAAACAAAAAGAAAATCTACAACAGAAAAAATTAGAAAGTCCTCCTGGTATAACTAGAGAAAAGTTTTCCAATGATGCAAACAAGTAAAATTGTACAGATTTCTAAAGATTTGAAAGCCAACCAAACAAACAACAGGTACATATTTAAATATTTAGTAAATGACTGAACAACTGCATCCATAAATTTAAAAATTATTCTAAATTTTTTTTAACACAAATAATTTGGTTTTATCAGGGGTGGATTCAGGTTTTGTGGGGCCTAAGGCTTATAACTGGAGAGGAGGGAAACCTCTTTAGGAAGAAAAAAAAATTAATTAAGACTACAAATCTAAAATTAAGGAACAGGGTCAGGAAGCACCTTAGCAAGCAAAGACTCTGAAGCTTCAGCTTCATTGTAGATCCATTTCTGGTTATAATAACAAAATACCTTTTATAATTCCTTCTTCATTAAATTATGGGTGGAATGTTCAATACTAACATTTATTGTGTATAAAAAGAAAAATTTGGGGGGCCAGCCCATGGCTCACTTGGGAGAGTGTGGTGCTGATACCACCAAGGCCACGGGTTCGGATCCCTATATAGGGATGGCCAGTTTGCTCACTTGAGAGAGCGTGGTGCTGACAACACCAAGTCAAGGGTTAAGATCCCCTTACCTGTCATCTTTTTCGAAAAGAAAAAAAGAAAAAAAAATTTTAAACTAACTAATGAAAATCTGAACTCTTACTTGATATCAAATTTCAGTAATTTCAGTGACATATTTGCTCCTTTTATACAATGGTAATCATATAATTATGTAATGGTATAACCATACTAGAAGCAAAATGAAGGAAGGTTGTAATTAGTTGTTAATAACTATATCTGATTCTAACTGAAAAGACCAATAGTTTTTTAAATTTTTTTTTTAAGAAGTGGCTGTGCTCCATGCTAGAATTCAAAGCAAATAACTATAACTGCATTAGGTGAAGAATAAAATGCAATTCCTAGTAAGATACTTTAGAAAAGGCCGATCTGAATTTAGTTACAAGTAAACACAGTTTTGAACAAACTGAGTTAGATTCATTACCATTTTTGCAATTAAACATTCATTCAAAAAGTACCTTTCCTCTTTCCAGAAAATAAAATTGAGTGGTCTATTAAACTGATAATCAGCGCTTCACTTATTAAGAAAATAATTACATTAAAATAAGAATTTTTATGTCAAACAAAAATAGATTCTAAGACAAGGAAACTGTAAAGCCGTTCTTATTTTGGCATTTAATGTCAAGTAGTCCTAGCTAATGACACTGGCATGCACTGATCTCACTCCCTCTCACCGAAGGGAGTGGGGAAGGGAGGAAAGGAGAGGAAGATGAGAAATCTTGGCTTCAAACAAAATATTCAGATTATGCTGAGACATAAAACAAAAGTGGACATTATATTTATAATGAAGCATGCTGTGCTGAAAATTATGCTGCATGCTGCTTGCCCTTTGGGTGGGTTTGTGAGACCTGGGCAATCACTGTGTAGCTTACTGAATTCCCGCCCCTCCCCAGGAATTTAGCTAGAATAGCTTAAAAAGTGGCTGGCTTATTCTACAGAATCAGTGCTGAAAATTATGCTGCATGCTGCTTGCCCTTTGGGTGGGTTTGTGAGACCTGGGCAATCACTGTGTAGCTTACTGAATTCCTGCCCCTCCCCAGGAATTTAGCTAGAATAGCTTAAAAAGTGGCTGGCTTATTCTACAGAATCATGAGAAGCTGCTATAGCGGCTCTGAAACAACAGCTGAATGTCAAACAGTTAGTTACAGGTTGGCAGACATCTATAAATTTGATTGAAAGAGAAAAATCAAGCTGAAAGGTAGAACATCCTCTCTGGGATTCTGACACTTTCAAAAACTAGAACTGTATCCTTCCCCTTCTTTCTCCTTATAACAATGGGACAACAGACAGTGAAGGAGGCAGGAAATGATGGCCCCTTCTTTTCCAGACCAAAGCCTTTGTTTCCATATCCATATAGCAGCTATAAAAAGGATTTGTAAATACTGTATAGAACCACAGAGTGGCTGATAAATAAAATATCCTTAGAAAGTACTGAACTGCAGCTGAAAGTCTTTTAAAAAACGAAACAAAACATATACTGTGCCAACCAAGTCTCACCCTCCCTTTCCCATATATAAATTAAACCAAAAGAAGGGCAGGCCATGCAAATTTTTTCACATTTTTAATGTAATGAATTCCTGATGTTATAATGGAGTAGCATGAAAGTGACAACCAAAAAACAGCTCTTGTAGTCTAATGTCTTAAAATCCACACCCTTTCACCTTGCATGTGCGGAAGAAGAAAGAGCAGAAGATAAAATCACTTCCACCTGGACCACTGCTTTTCTTTATCTGTTAAAGGCACGTATATCACCCCCATCAGAGGCTTCATTTTGACACTGCCATCTTGTAGCTTGTCATACTGCTCCAACATCTGGTTTCCACCTGCAGGACCAACTGGCAATATCAATCTTCCACCAGGCTTTAACTGGTCTATTAGCTAAAAGAAAACACATAAACACCAAGTTATAGATTTTATATTAAATAGTTGTTTGACATCACTGTTAACAACTTTCAGTATCTATGGGCAAAAAGCAGAAATCTATTTAGTATATACATACTTTGACTGTTATACTATTACTCAACTACCCACTTATTAATTTACCTGTCAATCTCTCCTACTAAATTACAAGTTCCTTGAGGATAGGGACTGTGCCTTATTCATCTTTGTGCCTAGCATCTAACATAGTACCAGGTACAACTGCAGTGTTCAAAATGTTGAACTGAACCACCTAATGTAGAACTATCCTCGTGTGGAAAAGCCAAGTGCAAAGCAGAAAATTCTAATGCCTGTGTACCTGTTTTGAAACTTCATGGGTTGGAAGGGAGAGGGAGGAGGAGGAGAAATATAGAAAATCAGCAAGGAATCCCTATCCTATTATTGCAGAATCGAGGGCATAACTGCAGCAAAGATAAGGGAACCCTATTTATATAATCGAATTTAGAATTACTGGTACATGAGGAGGGATGGCAGGGCTGGAGTCCCTGCCACATTAGACAGAGGACACCCCTATCAATGAAGAACCAAGACCACTCAATGAAAGCCCCTCCAGTAAGAAAAGTTTCAAATCATATCTTACCCATTTGAATACAACCTTACAGATCACCATTAATCAAAAACAGTAAGGAAGAAACCTTCCTTTGGATAGAATTTATTACCCCAGGGAAGTGTACCTTCAATTAAAATTTTAGTTGTCAGCAAGTCTTATCTTTGCCATTTTAATTTTTATCAAAGTAATACTTGCAAGTATTCTTTGAGTTGTATTTCCAAACTTCGGGATTTATAATGAAAAATGACAGACTTCTTCCCCTCACCCCAATCTTACTCCCTAAATCCAATCATTTAAAATCCTTTAAGCTGTGTCTTCTAGTATTTACCCTTATGTTGCTTTTCTTTTTTTTCTTTTTTGGCAGCTGCCTGGTACAGGGACTGAACCCTGGACCTTCGTGTTATCAGCACTATGCTCTAGCCAACTGAACTAACTGACCAGCTCCTTTAACCTTTATATTTCAAGATATATACTAAATAAGAACTGAGCTAACACACATTCTGCTTTCTTCCCTCAATCCAACAATCATAATTTTTTATTAAAACCATTTTCAGTTATGACTGTGTAAATATAATTTGCTGTCGAGCCAAGAGGTATCCAATGATTGTTTCCTTTCTCATATAATAGTTTTGTTTTTTCTGTGACTAAAATTGAAGTCTTTTCTTTTTTCATTCACTTAATTTTCTTTGTAACTGTCTCAAAATCTTTCTACCCTCCAACAGCTTCTCAACAAAACTTTTACACAGTCCAATCTACCTAATGAGTGCTTTCTTTCCTTCTCTGTAGACTCCCTTCTAATGCCTTCCCTCCCTTGCTCCAATCCTGGACTGGCTATTCTCCAGGCCTGCTGCATGGCTTTCATCCCGGGACTTCCCTTTGCAATACTCCTGGGAACGCCCATCATCTCTGTCTGACCAAGATGCTCTACTTGGTTTTCTCTTTTTGGTTTTTCCTACTGTCTCTCTCCTCCCTCGTTTCCTCAGTTTTTGATGATATTTTTGAAGCAATTCCTTCAGAAGCATTTTATGAAATAGTATATGGAATATTTTAAATGAGAGAGACTGAGGTTTGCAAGTCTACAACTATCTTTATTCTATTTATTTGGTGATATGTGGTGCATATAGAATTCAAGGTTAGAAATCATTTTCAGTTCAGAATTTTAATGGTTTGTTCCCCTGACTTGTTGATTCTAATGCTGTTATTTTGCAGTCTGGTGCCTTTCTGATTACCAATCCTTAACAGGAGGTGTTTTGTTTTCCTGGAAGCTTTTAGAATCTTCTTTTATTCCTAATATTCTGAAATTTCGTGGTGATACTGTGGCTCTTTCTTCTCTTTTAAAAATTCATTGTGCTGGGTGCTAAGTAGATCTTTTCAAACTAGAATTATGTCCTTCGGTTTTTGGAAAATTTCTTGCTTAGAGCTAATTGTTCCTCATTCAAACCCATGCTTCAACTCTTATTTCCAAGGAACGCCAATCCCTAAGCCATTTCAGACTTCTGCAGAGCAAACTGCTTCTGCATCGATATTCTGCTCTGTAGTCTCTTTAAAAGTAAAGAGACTTTCCACTTCCTCCATCCTCCATCCTCCTGAATCAGCTGTCATTCCCTTTACTGTCTATCTTCACACACCATGGAGTTCAGGTTTACAGGTATAATCTCCTAGTTAATATATGAAGTTTGGAGATTGTGTTTCTGTTTCTTGTTTTTATAGTTGTTCTGGGGTGATATCCAAAGGGAGGCATAAACATCACCACTTTGCTATCTTAGAACTGGAAAGCCCTTTAGCACACCTATCTTTAAATTTAATCAGATTTGTATAAACCCCTATAAAACTTGCAAGTGGTATTACAACATTTAAATTCACACTGAACTAAATCTAAAAAAGTCCTTTGAGATCATCTCAGGATCCTAGTGGGGAAGATGAGCCCTGCACCCCACCCCTCTTCATTTAAACAGTTTTATTTCAGATTTTAACTCTTCACTATAGGCTGCCAATTTTTTTTAAAGTTATAAGCCCATTGGTTCTGTGTTCATATGTGAAAATTCATTGAGCTATTCATTTATAACTTGTACATCTCTCTACATTATGTTAATACTTCACTTGAAATGTATTAAAACCACTGGTTTGGTCTACTTTTTTGTTTTGAAAAATAGATAATCAATAGGGCCAGAGAGAGTAAGTGATTTTCCCAAAGTCATTCAGCCAATAAGTAGTAAGTCAATGACCAGAACAAATTTCCCAACTTTCAGCTTCTCCTAACTGATCTAAATACGCAAAAAAGAAACCTTTCCAGGTTGGGGAGGGGATGAGACTGGGCAGAAAAAACAGTGTCACTTTCAGCCCCTGGTCATGTACTCAAAAACTATGTATGTGTAACAGAAACCTAGGATTTCAGTTAACTTGACCAAAGCTTATTAAGGGCTAATATAATCTTATCAGAGCCTTACTAAAATGAAAAATTAATATTATACCTTAAACATTTCCTTGACTATGCAATATACAGGACTGGAATATCCTTTCTTTTTTTCCAACTACACAAATCCTACTATTCTTTAAGATTCAGCTCAAGTTCCATCCCTGTATGAAGTCTCCTTGACCACTCTATGCAAAATTCTTTTCCTCACATACATACTTTCTTTACTAGATGCTAATGATACGCTATCACATCATTAATTTCTGATATATATATATATATATATA